ATTACAGACACAAAGTGAATCAGAAAAAACTCATCAGTATGACAAATAATGGCTGCCTTGCTAACTTCTAGCTACTCCTCACAGTTTTAGTAGTAGACTGCTTCTTGAAGCTAGCAACAAAATATATAAAACAGTGATTTAAAATAGTCTATAGTTTAAAAATCCTGCCTTTTGCACCCTTTATGAATCCATAATCTTTGTGGGCTATTGCATCATGGTACCTTCTATTTAATCGTGAAATAGGCAACATCTCCTCTAAGGTACCAGGAAAGAAGGGTAAAATTATGTTCTGACTTTTTAAAGGGTCTCTGTAGTACTGTAACACTGCTTTGCTCACCAGGATGCACAGAAGTCACCATCCATGATACAGCCTATTCCCACTGGTGTACCTGGCCTATTCAGTACCAGTTTCTGCCTCCTCACCAATCTTTTTCACTCCATCTAGGGTACTTTGAGTCCTATGTGGTGGGTAAGAGGGAACAGTCCCTGTATCAGGAGTGCAGGGACTTGCATTTATGTCTGGCTGCTGCACAGGGCTACAAAAAGGAGAGAGCCCTCTTTTGTGTCCCCATTCACACACAGCAGCTGAGTCAATACTACTTAATTTCCATAACCTAGGACAGAAATGACTGACATTCACTTGGGTCCTTATCCTGCAAACCCCATGGAGGTGAAATTCTTCTTTTTGTATTGAAGGCCTATACACTGTTTAAGTCCCAAGTTAGCCCTCAAAATAAGATTTACGTGGTGCATACACTTTATGGTAGTCCTCTCCACTGGAGTACATTTCATGCTGGGGGCATGGAGTGGCCATTAGCTTCAATGGGAGCTCCACACACGGCGTGCTTGCAACAGAGAGCTCAGAGTCTCATTTCTTAAATGACAAAGTGAATTATTCACTACCTAATTAATTTGACCCATAAAGTTTGAAACACCTATGATCCATCAGCATGATTTCTACTTCAGTTTAAATGATCAGTAAAAAAGCAAGAACATTATTGAAGGCTGCAAAAGTCATGTAACTTCATAAATTTGGGAACTAACTTCTTGCACCAAATTTCATTAAATGTGGGATGTAACAATAATAAATTATAGCTTCACAATTTTCACCAACATATTCTCTTTGCTCACAGATATCCAAAATAAAGCACTAAAAATGTTACATTTAAAAACTTTCCCCTTGGTCGACCTACTTGTGACTGGGTATTGCAGAACACAGAGTTCTGCTCTGATATACCTTCTGAAGTCACTTCATTTTCATTGAGTTTAAGTTCTAACAAAATTTAGCCCTTGGTATAGAATGAACAACCAATGCTTTGTAGTCTCTTTCATACAGGTAAAACGGGCAGTGTTGGTGCTTTCAACTCTGACTTTTCTTCCTTGTATGAGTTTAAATTACACTCTTAACATAGTTCTTCTGGTTTATTTTCCTCTTTTAAAGTATTTTTAAGTATTTCATTGATATGCTGTAGGGTCTGAGTTTCCTTAGAATCCAATAGCATGTCAATAGCCCCTTTCAGATTTAGCTGAGTTGTGAGCTTTAGCCTTAATTCATATTCATAGTATATGCTGTAAGAGCTCCTGAGAAGCTATTACAGTGTATCCTGCAAATACATATTAACAACAGCACAGATTGCCGATTATGGATCCATAGTAACAAATACATACTAAAAATGTGTATGAAAAATAAATATTGTGAATGCATAGTAGCAGTTTTTAAGAACATTAGCATCTCAGTTGCTTTATTTTTAATATCCAAAGTGATTAACCCATGATATGAAATAATCCCTTGTAAAACTCATTTTAAAAAGTATTGTAGCTGTGATTGAGAGAGAATTACAGTGAACATCGAGAAAGTGTACTTTATTTTGTCATTCTTAAACACGAACTTGGCCATTTTACTTCAGAATATGCTTCAAATGCACACAATAATTCTCTGGTTAAGATATTGTACGCCAGGTTTCATCCCCAAAATATATTTGTGTGTTCTGGTTCTAAAATCTTCAAAACAAACAAGATTTCTATGGGAAATATTGACAAATCTTTATCCTTCAGAGTAAAGGATTTGTAAGCATTTCCTAGAATACCACCCTCATAAGTTCCAATTACATGTTTTCAAAGATGTCTTTTATCTCAGTGAGATGAAAGGGGGCAAAATTCTACCTTACATTCTTTGCACACTCAAAATTCTCACTGACTTCTACAGGAGTTTTAGGTGAACAAGGAATGCAGGATTGGGACAAAAGGGTGTTAAGATTTCTCCAGCGTATAATATTCTCCTTTAAAATGTCAGAATTTTGTGGTACCAACAACTACCACACAGTGGTAGGTACCTATTTTTATTTCCCTATAGTTACAATAGGAAATGTTGTAACTATGTAAATGCAGGTAAATGTTGATTTTTCTACTGATGGCTACTGTGTAAGTCATTTGTGGTAAGAGGCATCAACTTTTAATTTCTTGCTCTCATCACCTAATTTACTCCCATTTTTTAAAACACAGTGTGTATGTAGCTTAAAACTTTAAAACTTGTTTTTTTAAATGCATCAGGAATAGTATTTTTATGAAGAAAGTGCATAATCCTTTGCCAAGTAATTTCAGTCTTAGATTTAGTGTCACAGTGTGACATTTTTCAGGTAAGAGAATGCCAACAGTACTTGAGGTTCAGTGAGATCTCAAGATTTACAAACTATGAGGTGTAAACAGATTTGCCCAGTGCTGAATTCTGAGTAAAAATAATTGAACGGTTGGAGCCTACAATCTGATAGGCATTCCATAACAAGAAATAGGAAGGAGTTAAAAAAATACCCAACATCTTCTATACTTATATTACACAGAAGTGCAAGTGCACTTCAAATTCATTCTGATTTTAAAGGTATTACCAGTTTCAGACCTATTGTTCATATTTAAAATGGAGAACATAACTAGATCCAGTAATATCTCTAGAACCAGAATGGAAGTAAATGCATCCATTGTACATATGCTTCTGGTTCTTTTTTTTTTTTTTTTAATTAGTTTAATATGTAAACATATTATATTCATGGCTTGAGGGAGCAAAGTCAGTAGGAGGGCAGGAGTGGTGCAATGGTGGATAGCATTTAAAAGCTAACCAAAAGAAGTGAGTCTTGAGAGGGTGGCAAAGGAGGAGAATGAGGTTGCATGAAACACAGAATCAAGAAGGTATTACAAGTGTGATATATAGTGGAAGAAAAAGAGGGGACCAATACAGATCAAGGGTAATGTAAAGGAGTGACCAGACAGGCAGAGGGAGAATGATTTGAATACTACAAAAGCTCAAAGGGAAGAGATGCCTGAGCATGAGGGGGGAACTAATGCAATCTAATGTGTACCTGTTTAGAGGAAAACCCACAGAATTTGGCTTGTCAAGCACATATTTACAGAGCAGACTTAATGTACAAGCAAAAAAGGGAATCTTATACATTATAGATATTAATCAGCAACTACAGTTAAGAAAAAGTGCATAACCAAATAAAAATATGAATGGAGAAGTGTAGCATTTTCAAAACCTCCTAAGTGACTCCAGAGCACTTGAAAATTGCTTTTGAGAATACGACTCTTAAGCGCTATGTTCTTAAGTCACTGAGGTGCTTTTGAAAATTTTATTCCACAACCTTTTTCATTGCAGTAGGATTAAAGCTGTAAATGTAAGCTGCAGTTTTAAGTCTTTTACTCACAGAACAGCATATAATAGCACAGTAGAAAATAAATAAGCACTACACAAAATTTAACAGTCTCCTGAGGTCAGTGTGGCTCTCCACCTGAAGAGCAACATCTTTTCTGTTTCTTTTGAACAAAAAGGTGTAATTTAGAAGCATTTTTAAAACCTAGATAAAATATTTTTGCACAATATGTCTTCAATACTGGAAAGAAATCATACCGGTTTTGGAAAAAAACATAGTTTTCAACAGATTTTAAGTGCTAATAACTTCATTTTAAGCTAAGCCAACTTTTTTTTTTAAGATTCAGTATATTAGAGGAAAAATAAGTACCATATGCCTTGGCAGTTCCTATCCTAATTACTCAACTGTATTAAATAGCTTACTAAAATCCATGTAGTATATAATTTATGCAGTCTCTTTTTGCCAAGTACTTCATTGAATATTGGTATTTATCACATTTAAACAGGGAACTCTGTCTAAAATAGGTACTTTTTCAGGATAGCCATTGACTTAGCTATATTAGTTTGTAGAGCAAAATATCTTTTATAAATGTTGTGAATTAAGTTTTGTATAGTGAATTTTGTAACATATTTTCCTCTAGTATTAATATTCTTTATATTACATGGCTTCTAATCTCATTATGTACTCTTTTTTTCCACAAGATGTGTTCTCACTTGCAGAGATAAACATTGTATTGCAATTTTCAATAACATTAAAGCTTCTAATAATCTGAAGTCTCTCAATGTTCAAATAAGTACATTTACCATCCTTATGAATCAGCATTCACCCTACTGAATCACCTGTGAATCCACAATTTAAGCTGAAATACTCAGTGTTAGTTTTCCCAACTACACAGTTGTGAGAGCTGCAATTAATTATCTTCCATTATTACTGATCATCAATTAACTCAAAAGGTTGCTAAGATTGTGAGTGTGCTGAAGAAGGCAAAATGTAATGACATAATTTGAGATTGGTAGGACAGTAAATTTCTCTCTTGTTAATAATTAAAGTAGATAACTTATGTTTTTATTTATAGCTTCCAGAAATATCCGGCTCACTTCTCTGTACTGCAATATCAGCTAATCATCTGCTTGTCAGGATCTGACTCAAGCGCTTGTATTTTATTATTGACATACTCTGTATCACATGAAGCCTTTAATTCTTGCTCACTTATAATAAAAAATTTAAAGTTTCTAATTAATAAATGTAATATGTTACTATCTTTGCATGGCCACACTACAGATCTGGGTACATGTAACCAAACATCATAGATTAGAAGAAAACTAATTAGCGAGGGCTGAACAAGAAAAAACACATTACCTGTTTCAATTTCCCAAACATAAACTGAATCATCTTCGCATCCGACAATTAGCAGATTTTCAGCAAGGTGCCATTTTATCATCTTCACAGGAAACAAATGCTTCCTGGCATGTAAGAGACATACTCTCTCCTGAAGGTGTAGAAGTGCTACTGAATGATCACTGCATATACAGCACACAATCCTGTGCCCGTTTAGCTGCAAAAACATATAAATAACTCAATTTTTATTATTATTTTTTATTGTTTTTATTGTGGTAGCACCTATGAGCTCCAGTCCTGGACCAAGAGCCCATTGTGCTAGGCACTGTACAAACAAACACAAAACAGTCCCTGCCACAAACTATATTCATTTAGAAACTAGTGTTACATTTCAGCCTGCATTCCAAAAATTGTTTGAAAAGATTAACTATAAATCTGATCTCCAAAGGAAAGGTACAATCCAATGCATGTGTATTGGATCCTCTAAAAAATCACGTACATCAACAGGTGGGCTATTAAAGCAGCAACTATATAATCAAATATACTCAGTAATAGAGGTTTTCCCTGGAAATAAAAAGAAATGAAAAATTACTTTAACTCAAATCGCTATTCATCTGACATAAAATTATGTATCAGTTCTTATGACACAAAGGCCAAAGGCAAAATATCGCCAGTGCAAAAACTAGGTATGTTATAATTGCATTTTGCACTATGTGGATCTGTTCCTGTAAAAGCCTTATTTCGACAAGTAATCCTTACTGACACAGGGTGGAATTCACCCTCGGGTAAAATTCACCCCTGTCCAAAGGACCAGAAAAATGCCTAGGTGCCATGTAAGTCCAACACAACCCCTGAAAACAGGGCTTAAGAGATCAGGTTGCCACCTTTTGCCACAAGGGTGATTTTCACCTAGCAGTGCAGAGAGCCAGCACAAGGCCCTATGAACCAGTTAAGCCTTAAAACTCTGTGTACATGTAATTTCTGCCCAATATCCTAGTATTTACTCCTGCGGCAAGCCTGAACCACCGCCTACTGTATTGTGTCTACCCTGCTATTTTTAGTTAGCTAGCTCAAACAAAGCTAGCGCATGTATGTCTACCCAAGCTGGAAATTACACCTCCAGCTGTAGTGTAGATGCACCATAAGTGGACCTTGTGTAATAAATAGGTTATTGCGCAGGCCCTTTGAACTAAGGTGTATTTCACCTTTAAGGGGTAAAATTCTTGTTCCATTGACTTCAGGGGCGTCTCATGTAAGTAAGGGTTTGCTGTATTGAACCCTGTACATTTCAAAAATGCACAAGAATATTAGAAATTAAATAGTACTAGAGCTGATCGTTCATTCTGAAGTAAAAGATTGTTTCTAAAGCATCTAGTTAGACATGAGAAAAAGGCCAATAGAAATTTGCTAGGTATCAAAACAATCAAACACAAATATCTATACATAACTAAGTGTTATTGGCCTGATTCTCCTCTCATAGTTTTTACACCAGCGTAACTATTGACTTCAGTGGAAGCCACTTCAGATTTACACCAGCATACATAAGTGAGAAGAGAATCAGGCAATTATGTGCCCTCTGGCAATTATGTTTATTCAGAACTAGTTCTCTCTAAAAATGCCACATTCAGACAGGAAAGTCTTGATTCTCCACTCCAGTTCTCCAGGTTGATGACTTAATGGGACCTGCACTGATGTAACAGTAGCGAATCAGACCCCAAAACAGGAAGCCAACGTAGATCTCACACAAAACATAAAGTAAGTAGTTAGTAACTGGGAATTAAGTTACAAATAAAATAAAATTATTACTGTAAATGTTACTCCCCCCCGCCCTCCAAAAAAACCCATCATATACTCTGTCTTTACTTACTCTGTAGTTCTCTGGTGATAACAACAGGTTCATGACTGGACCAGCTTGCAGAGTGAATTGATGCAAAATTTCCTCCGTAAATATATCCCACCAGATCACACAAGAATCCTGGCCACCTGACACCAGCCAACTTGGATCAAACCTGGCTGATTTACTGTGTGGATAAAGTAAACAAGTAACACTCCTGCTGTGGCCCTTAAGAACTTTGGAAGGCAAAGTATCTGTAAGACAAAAATGTTAGATAAATGATTTCTGCCCTTTACAAAAAAAAAAAAGCTTACAGGTTTTTACTATATATGTGCTTGCAGTCAGGAAATCTGTACGATGAAATGTATTCAAGAGTAGTGTCGGCGCTAGGCATAAGCAGACTAAGCAATTGCTTAGTGCCCCGAGCAGCTCACGGGGGTCCCCTATTCGCTTTTTTAGTATGTGTTGTCGGGGTAGGGGTCAAAAATATTCCTGCTTAGGACTCCCAATGGGCTAGTACCATTTCTATTTAAGAGCTCACTCCTAAATGAGTAAGAGTTTTAGGCCAATATAGCCCTTACTCAAGATCAAATTCTTTTCTCTATGCCACAAAAGGCACACAACAGGAGCACTGATCCACAGCTCCTGAGCTGCTGCCACTCTGCTATATTTTTCCTTTTTGAGAGGGGAGCCAGAGGTAGAGGGGACTTGAGAGGAGAAATGATCAAAAAGGAGCATAGCCCAGGATCTGCAGGAGGGAACCCACTGGATCTGAAACCTTCCGCACCTCTCTCAACTACAGAAAGACTTTGGATATGTCTGCAATGCAATGTCAGCCTAGGGTTAGAAGAATCTGAGTTAGCAGACCCTGGATTTGGTTAACCTAGGGTTTGAGCGTCTACACTCTTTTGTAACCCCAGATTAGAAATTGCTGAACCTTGTGTCCCAGCTTCGGGCACCAGCATCCACACTGCATTTGCAGGCCTGAGTCCTACCACCCATATTCCAGACTTCCTCGCATCCTCGCAAAATGTGGCCGCTCTAGTCCTTTGTTCATGGTGCAATGTGGGAAAACTTGACCGTTCAGAGGAATTGTGGGGTACTTTTGGCAGAATCTCAGAGCACGAGTCCAGTGGGGCTGCATCTATACTGCAAAGCAATAGGGCTTGAACCCTGGCTCCCAGCTTGACTCAGGCTTGGACCCTCCACCCCTGTGGGGTCCTGGAACCCTTTGTCTGAGTCCTGGGTTAGCACAATTTGTGTAGACAGAAGAGGGATTTGGCTTGAAGCTGAGTTCAAATGCTGGGCTTACATTGCAGTGTGGACATACCATCTGTTTCTTTGCAATATGTCACAGCCAGCTCTCTCTGTATATGAACAGAGCATTGGCTGTGCAGAGCTGGGCTCCAATGTAGTGGCTGCAGAGGGGAGAGAAGTGGTTCAGTGCTGGTGGGGGAACATACGCTACCATTTTCCCCTTGGCACTCCCTGATCTTCACCCAAGAGCCTAGGGCCTTTTCAACTGCTCAAGTGGAGGGGAGTACAGGGTCCTCAGTCTTACTTGAGTAAAACTCTCAGTAAGCAGAATTAAGTAAAGACTACAAAATGTCTCCACACATTTTTAAATACAAACAAAACTTAGGACCAGACTCTGAAAATGCTTATGACTAGGCATAGTGTTGATGATCCCAAGTAGTCCTATTGGTACTATTTTCTTATCGGGCCTGATTCTCCTCTCAATTACACCAGAATAAAGCCAGTATAAATGAGAGGAGAATCAGGCCTCATAAAAAAATTCATCACGGTAACGAATCCATGCTCAATTGCAAGTATTTGCACAATCGGGCTCCCACTTCTTTAATGGAAAAATGCACCTGGAAAGAACCTAAGGTGCATCAACATATGCATATAACAAATTAAAAAGTGACCTTATTGTATTAAAAAGAAAAAAAATTAAACCAAACCAAAACACACACCAAGTTTTAAACACCTTCTGAAACTGGAGCAGAGGAAATGTTTCAATTCTTTCAAGATTAAAATAAAGATTCTTTTATATATGCTCTGAAATTCAGGATTAAAAAGATGTGTTATAATCTAGTATTATTTTTAATTAGGGTTAAAATGACAATTCATACCAAAAGAAACGTGGATATAAAATACCATTCAGAAGAAGCTAGTCAACCAGACCGTGCACTTCTGAAAATTAAAATCAGTTAAACCAATGGATTTGGAATAATTTAAAGGCAAGGTAATTTAAAGGCAAGGTAACATGACCCATATTTATATTTGACTTACGGTGGCAATTTCTTCACCTATATAATGAAACAGTGCAAGTATACATACTGTACAATACTAAACAAATGATTCATGGCAACATATCCAGGGGAGAGCAGTATAAACATGTAATTGTTCATGAGAAACAATATTAAATAAAAGGGAAAGGGATCAATTCTGCCCTCAGTTTCATGGGTGCTGCTCTCAGCAACACCACCAGGACCAGGACTTGTGTAACTGAGGTCAAAACTGAGCCGTCATGTCCCTACTTCCTGCCTTCTTTTTCATTTAGAGGAATATGAAAAGATGCTTGATTAAAAATTAGATTAAGTAGAGTTGCATTAAAAACTTACGTTTCAGCAAGGAAATGTCTTCTAAAATTCTTGCTTTGGCAGCATGCAAAGCAAGTGTTACGAAAATTTTCCCATCTTCACACCCACACACCAGCTTATCAAGGTTGGGCACATATATGGATGAAGTGACTGCTGCACTTTCGGTCCCATCTTTAGATGCACAAATATGATCAATAATGCCTTCTGACATAGCACGATGTTTGTCAAAATCGTCCTGTAGAGTCCAAGCTGCTGCTATTGGGATCTCTAGCAAAAAGGAATAGTCAAGAATAATTCACATGAAATTTCCAGGGATTCAACAATAGAGAACAAGTCAGAGAAGTGACTGATTGTAAAAAAATTATAACAAATAAAAAGCACACTTGCCTCCCTGACCACCTCCTCCCAAAGAGCCTGTCTTTCATCCTGTGATTTGGAACAGTAATTGTACTTTTTCCACACCAGTTGGATCACATGGTCACTCAATGGGGTAACCTCCATGCACTGGCATGTGTAGGCCCAGCATGACAGCCCTTTCCATGGCATTTTGGCCAGGGTGGGCAATCTCTGCAAGGATTGTGCCTATGTTTCTCCCCTCCAGACCTATGCATGGCTTTATTGGTGTAGAGAGCCTTGTGTAAGTTTTACAGACCAGAGATGAATTCTACCCTGAATGACTAGAGAAGCTCCACTTTCCCGGGTGACTTTTCATGAGAACTGAGGAAGCAACAATGCAATTAAAAATTGCACATAATATAGAAAATTGCCTAACCTTTTGGAGAACCATCAAGCGTCGACACTGGGACATCAGGAATATGCCACAAGGTGATTCTTCCAGATGCTTCTCCAGAAAAGAGAATCTTATAGAAAGGTTCCTTTCTTTCATTCATAAAGCCCATAACAAAAGGAAAACTCTGTGACAAAAATAACAGCAACTAGTCAACATTTCCGTATGAAAAAATAGATTAAGACAATACAGTCTCTAATTGCAAAATAAAACTATAATATCTGGAAATACATCTAGAAATAAAGGGCTGAATCCTCAGCTGTGGCTGAACTTTCCTCAGCCAGTGGCTGCTCTAAAGCCAGGGCTGCTCTAAGTTGCACTGGCTGGTATGACCCTCTTAAAGGCCACTAGGAACACAGGGACTGCCAGAGTGCAGCATTGCTCTACCCATGCTCTTGCCACAACTTATACACCAGGCCAGGAGTTGGGACTGGTGGGGAAATGCTACCCAGGGTCTACACCACCTGTGAATACTTCTACGCCAGGAGAATCCGCAAGCAGCTTGTTAAGTAAACTTTCTGCCTGCTTTGTGCTGGCAGTTTTGCAGAAAACAAGCAGAATGGGGGCAGGAATTGGGCCAAAAAATTCAGCTAATATAAAACCTAAATTATCTTCATAACAAACAGAACAAAAAAAAACCTGCATTCACAGTAGATTATATGATACAAGAGAAAGCAAGTCTGGGGACAGTGTTTTGGCATAAATACTTAATGGCCTACAGTGTCATCATTCACTTAACCTGCAAGAAGTTACAGGGTATATGGCTATAATATACTTGAAGAAAACAGACTTGTTACTGACATCTAACAGGTCTCTGCTTATTGTGTTTCATCATTAACAGTTATTGTACAATGCTGAGAGAAATACATGTGGAATGCAAATGCTATGTTTATTGATAGCTGAAGTCATACATTCTTCCACTGGTACTGGGAATCTATACACCCTCTTTAATCAGAGACCCCTGAATGTAAGGACTAACACATATGATACTACATACTCAATTCCAGTAGTGCCCAAACTATAGGCCTGTGCAGCATTTGACAGTGGATGCTCTCATGGTCCTTATTTCCAACTTTTAAACTGCATTAAAATATAGGTGAAAATACATTAACATTCAGATTTTCAAAGGCACAAAATGCCATTAGATGGATATCCAGCTCCTACTTAAAAGTCAATGAAAGCTGGGCTTTTAACTCTTATTTTGGGGGAAGATTCTCTAGGGCACAAATAACATTCTCATATCACTTTTCCATATAAGCAATTGTTGGAGTTGCAACAAGAATGTTACATGATTGCAAATGGGAAGAGAAGTCCACAGAATTATAAATATGGGTGCCACTATGAAAAGATTTGGGAACTCCTGCTCTGTGTTATGATGTAGCACTTGGAGGTCGAGATGTACAGCCTCACAAGCTACTTTGACGTCACACACTCGATTTTGCCATAAAAATCACCATGGATTTTGCCATGAAGTTAATTAGACAGGATGAAGCCAAAGATCAAAGAATAAGAACAGAAAATGGGTAGAATGTGGATACTTTAAAAAAAAATAATGCTTTCATTTGTTGGAAAAAATTATACATAAGCTGCTCTGCCATCATAGTGACACAGTTATTGCTAAGCCATGTATTTTGGCTACTTCTCTTCCTTGATGGTCTTTGATCTTTTGACATCCTTCAACTATTATCCTATCTGATTTTAGATCACAAGTGTTTGAGGGGAAAAATAAACTAATGGCTATTGCCCTTCACATAAAAATTAAACCTGATAGGTTTAGGAAAACTATGCAGCAAAAGTGGTGTCTAAAATCCTTTACCCAGCAACAAAAAGGAGGGACTAATAAAAACCTCAGACAAGCCAGTATATTTAATAGTGCTTTTGGTGGAGTACAAATAAAAATATGCCTTTCTCTCATAGTCCTGACGAATGGTTTAAGGGTCTGATCCTGGTCCACTTAAGTCAACATCAAAAAAACAAAATTGACTTCAACAGGAGCAGGTCCCACATACTTTTTCATAGCCAAATAATAAATAAGTAAAATTCCATAAGTACTAAGTCTTAGCCTTGGTCCAATGGTTGCTGTCCTTACTCAGACAGAATCCCTGTTAAAATCAATAGGGTTTTTGTTTTTGCCAGAGTGGGGACTGTAGTAACCAATCCTTTATTTGTATCTTCCAATCACTTAATTTCCGTTCATTCAACCAGCCATCATCTTCTCTAGTCACACAGAGAGGAAAGCAACCATTCAGATGTATTCTTTCCAATAGCGGAGTTCATTTGAGTCACCCATTGTCAAGTTGGTAACTAGTAAACTTACAATTGGCACACACCCAGGCACACATTTACAATTGGAAGTATAAGAACTCTAGATCCATCTGACTCTTCAATTTCCTCTGTACGAACTTCCCTAAACTTTAGAAACAGCTTCTTAGGCCTTAGGTGCCAATCCTGCAAAGACTTACACATGTGCTTAACTTTACACACTGAGTACTGCCAGTAAAGTCTGCTCACACTGGAAAAAAAGTTAAACACATGCATAGGTCTTTGCAGGATCAGGATAGGAATCTCTGTATAATGTAATGTGTTCAAAGACCTGATTACAAACCGTTTGTGGTGGATGCATTTTGTAATGAACTAAGAGAGTCCTTGGGCCCAAACAGTTATGCATGTGTAGTCCTATTGACTTCTATAGGAGAATTCACACAAGTAACTTTTTGCAGGATTGAGTCCCTTGGGTGTAAGGAATTCTTAATATTCTACCTTGCCTTTTAAATTTTAATACAAATTTTGAAAATTAACAAAAAAATCTTAACAAAGAGCCTTTTGTAAAATACAAAGTATATCATGGATTCACCATATTTGAAAGTCAAAATTAGAATCAAGGAGTAAGCCTTATTTATTATATCAATACAACAACTAAACCCAGTTTGACTCAATGCCTTAAATGTCCAGTTTGCTGAGAGTCTGTCTAGTCATTACAAGCAAAATATGAAGCAACTTTTGAAGCTCATTGTACAACATTCTCATGTTACCTTATTTTCTTTCACATAAGTGGAGCAGAGTAAATGAGGATAAACAGTTTCTTTGAGCACTTTTCCATCGGCAGGATATATGCTTTTAGAATGTCCACTGCATAATTAAAAAGAAAATCAAATGCTTTAGAAATTGGTCTTTTTAAAAGCAGAATGGTTGTGTCCAAGATTCTCAAGTTCAGCTAAAGTTGTTGGGTAAGTAATTACAAGTGATTTCTTTTTGAAACCACAGCACCAGCTGCCCAAGTTCTACATGGCTAATCTTATTCCTGTATCCCCTGCTGTGTCAAACAAAGACTGAGGGCTGTCAAACTCAGGGTAAATCTTCTAGTGCCAAAGTGTTTTTGTTCTGGTTTTTCATCATTTGCGACATGCGGGGATTTTCCATAATAAACCTCCCAAAGTTCATCTTGTACCTGAACTTTTTGTGTTCATTTCCAATCTGAGCCCACCTGTTCAGCAGCTGGTAGATGTAACTGTGACCATCTTCCGTCCAGATGATGAGTCTCCAAGCAGCTAGCACTTCACCACCAGCAAAGCACTGACCACTTTTGTTGAATTCAGTGCACAGCAAGGAAAAATCACAATAATCATAGACCTAAAGACAGAAAAATGATAGATAAACATAAATTAATACTATGTGTTTCCTGTTGACTATTTCATTTTAATGCAAATACTGGCTTTGAGCAAAGATTCAGAAAGTAAAATATTTATGAGACTGTTTTTATGGTCTACATTCAGACCACCCTATTAAATTCAATGGGGTTACACTACTGTTAAAACACAGTAAGATCAGAATCAGGCCACATGATTCTAGGAAGAAAAAACTGCCAATTAAAATAAAAACAACATTAAAGGCTTAAAGGTAGAGTTACAGTCAGGGGGTTGGGAGGAGGCAGGGGATTTGTTTGTCATTCCAAAATTCATCCTCTGTGTAACTACATTGAGTTCAGGAGTGAATGTGGCCTATTAGAACAAAACCTTCAAATTTCCTCTTGGGAGAACTTTTACATTCCTCTGTTCATGATCACACTACATATGTAGCTTCTTTAACCCAATACTGTTAGATCCGCCCACAGTTCTATCATCTGGGACACACATTTGTTCTTCATCATAGTTTAATTTAATCACCATGCAAACCCACATCTTTCCAGGAGTGCATAGCAAAAGATGGCTGTCCCACTCCCAGCTCCTCTGAAAACACATAGGCTGCTATTCCACAGGGCCTCCTCTCCTGCAGTTGCAGGAGAATGTAGTGCGGTGGTCGGGGGGGCAGCATGTGGTATGGTGGCATGGGAGCATGTGGTACTGACTTTCAATGGGATTTAGGAACCCAAGTCACCTTTGAGAATGAGACTTGGGCACTGCAATACAGAGCAGAGCACAGCATTAAATACCTTTAAAAATCCAGGCCTATATCATCTCAGCTACGCAATTAAAATAACTGGTGAAGAAATGGAGCAAGCAGTTTCCTCTAATATCCCAAATAGCTAGTGAGTACTGTTTCATTTGATTTAAGGAGGAAAATAACTACTTACATATAAAATCAATCATGTTCACTTTTCCAAAATGCTACTGAATTGCTAACAATGTTATATAGGAAGCATTAAGTACTATGTGTAATGCTGTACCTTCCAACAGTTTGCGAGCACGACTAAGAGGAGTCTTTCTGTGTATGTGCAAAATCTTATTGCTTGGCAGTTTGTACAGTCCAGAGCTTTGGATTCTTGCTCATATACACTTTGCCTCTCCTAGATATTAGAGGGAAAAGTAGTAGTATTAGACAAACAAGATATTCTGGATCTTCAGGCTACGAATTTTCTGGAAAGAAACCAGCTATTAAAAACATTTTGTAAATACAGACGTTCAAAATGCAATGCAAACTGTAACTTTTCATTAAACAGTGAGTTCGGGGTAGGATTCATGGCCCCTGTAGAGATGATGGGCATTCTGTGGGGACTGCCTTCATACTCTCATTTAAAGGAGTGGCAATGAGGGTCAGGGAGGGATTGGATCAGGGAAGAGCATAGGCAGCATTGATAGATCTGCCACTATGAAGATGCACTAGCCATTGCTCCATGTAAAGCCAACAAAGCCATAGCAGTCTATACGCTCGCAGTTTCAGATACACAATGGCCAACAGGGGATTCTTTTCCTAGAGCATAGCAAACAATAGTATCGTCACTTGAGTTGTATGCTGGGTACATGATCTTGACTTAAATTAATACTTTCCCACGACTTTTAGGGGTCATTATATTCCTATCCTTTTGGATTTGAATGCATGAATGGCTTGCAAAAGAAAAAATCCTACTTTTTGCCCTTTTCAAAGTGAATATCAAAGGCTCACTATCGAGGCTGACAGGCCCAAAATAGTTATGTTGGAATTATTTTTATTAATTATTGATCACATCACAAAATACTGACATTTTCTGCCATGAAACAATCCCCCTCCCATCATCAATCCTCCGCAAGAAGGTCTACAGTGGTCAGACAATCTCAGCTGTTAAGTTAAAAGCAAAACAGCCACTATCACAGGCAGGAATGTCATGGCATCCTCTTACTCACCCTTGCATCTCCAGGAGGGAATTACAATTGATGAGAATTGTGCTCTCTAGGTATTTGAAGGAGCTGTATTCTCACTAACTCTGAACCCCTCCCATCTCAAAGGGCAGAAAAGAAAAGGATCGGCATAATACCTACATATGCTTGTGTTATGTCTGTTTGTGACTGGTGGCTGCACAGTCACTCAGCGTTAACAGCAACAATTTCAAGGCTGCAGCAGCACTAGTTATCTAGGACTGATATACTGAATGGAAATGTTAAACACAGACTTTTTATAACAATGAACATGTTTTTAGAAGTGACATCAAACTTGACAGCATCTCTTTAAGGGTCTGATCCTATCAATTAATATGCACCTCCCATGAGGTGCTCCTACATTAAGGTACTAATGTAGCTAAGCGTACTCTGGAGAAAGGAGGTGCTGAAATTGTTGCTAGTGTGGCTAAAAAGGCAACCTTCCTATTTTAAGAAAAGGATTATACAAATTTGAGTCCTTTATTAGTGATAGTACTAATTTTTTTATATAACAATATAAGTGTTATGGATCTCATTGCCACAGGAAGTTGTTGGGGCAAGAATTTAGCAAGATTCTAAAAGGAACTGGACATGTATATGGATATTAAGAATACCCAGAGTTATAATAAACAGCAACAAAAATTTTGAAAGGGATATTAAACCTCATGCTTCAGGATTTAAGTCAATCCCTATCTATTAGAGACCAAGATTTGAACTAGTATGGGGGCCACATCTGTCTACTGCAGGGTTCTGACATTTTCCTAAGCATCTGGTTCTGACCACTGTACTAGACTAGATGGGCTTATGTCTGCTTCAGTCTGGTCATTTCTATGTTCCTGTGTGCTTACAAAAAGCAAGAAGTTGAATTCATCCACATTTTAATGCTACTAATGTCAGTGGAGTTACCCCATGGATGAATTTGGCCCAAACCATCAAAGTCCTTGGCCTAAAGTACTTGCAGATTAAGTGGATCAAAAGAAAAGCTAGGACTCCAGTTTCAGCTCAAACAGGTTTCAGGGCAGCTTTGGTGAGAATATTAATATTCATAAACTGTTCACAATAAGTAGACTTGAGGAGAGAGGGTGGGTGAAAGGCTGTTCCAAATGAAGAGAATAGCATGAAAGAATATGAAAAATAGACAGTGGGAGAAGGAGACAAAAATAGTATATAGGAGACAGAAAGAAGGACCAAGAGAGCATACAGGTAGAATTATGCAGAGCTTTGAACATAATGTGGAAGGAGGGAAGAAGGGGTTTAGAGGAGGGAGTGACAAGAAAGGATTATGATCTTAGCATCAGTGTGGAAGAATAACAGGCAAGATGTAGGAAAGCCAGAAGATGATGCAGTAGTCAAGGCAAGAGATGTACAAAGACATGGACTAGTGTTTAGTGGAAATAAGAAGGATGGATTCTAGGAATTTTATTGAGAATGAAGAGATAGGGCTTAGTAAGAGCCTCAGCCTTTTCAACAAACATGCTTACAAAAATAACTAACTCTGTTTAATACACATTCACAAGACATTATGTTCAGATTCAGTATTTTTGTATCCTCACAATACTTCCATGTTCTATATGTTACATTCATGTTTTAGGTTAAGACTTCATGTTTCATGCAAACTGACCTGTATACTGGTCACTGATGAGGATAGATCCCATACTTTAAGATCTCCAGTTACAGATACTGCTACTAGTGAATCTTCTATAAAAAGGTAATACAAAGCTGTTTAATATGAAACTAAATTCAAATCACTGTGACTTGAGCCAAATGAGAACACAAGTACCACCAATGCTACCTTAGTGCATACTGGAGCTCTGTTTTGGAAATACCAACTTTAGTCTTTTGGACCTGATGTTCCAGACTGTACACATAAAACAGAATGTCTAATTTGTATGTGCAGTCACTGTATTGTGAAGGGAAACAGGGTCCTTGTATATAGAAATGCTCAACCATGCGCTTAACCATCAATCTCATGTGCAAATAGGATATTTGATCAAGGTAACTGTGTGAGCAAACTAGGTGAATAATTGCACAATCACTTTGTTAATGCAACTGCACATAAACACTTTTGAAAATCAGGCCATGCACACATATAATCTCCCTAATTTCACACTCATATAATCATTGTCACAGGTAGCCTATTAATTGAGCTAATTATTAGCAAAGTGTAAGAAAATAATTCTTTCCAGCTCTCAGGTTTCTGCTTAAGAAGCAAAACACAGTAATTTAAGTCTGATTGACATTAAAATGTAAATGTATCTTCAAGTATCGATATTGAAGTATTTTGCATCCTGAACGTATTTGTGAAATATAACAATATATTTAACTAACTATAATTAAAATATAGTATAGAAAGAATCTTTAGGCATTTGCTGCTCTATATAAAAACAAGACATGACTGGCCGGCTTACACGCTAATTTCTGCATGTCACTACTATATATGTACCTTGAATCCTTGTGGAGTGAACAATGCACATGCCACTGATCCAGTCAGAAGACTGAAAAGATATTAAAGTGTGAAGAACAGCCAAAGTCTTAGCATCAATAATGAGGACATCTTGATATTGTCCACAACACAGAAGCCAGCCATCTCCTGTCATTCGGAAGGAGCAATGGTAATACTGTCCAAATGGAATTAAGCAAGAAAAGGTTAATAGAGAGAGCTATACAAGTTCACTTGCATATTATTTCTGGCTTTCATACACACCATTTTATAAAATTTTAATTAACAAAAACAGTATTTTAAACACATGAAAACTTATTTTTAAACTGCATCAGAATCATACCGGTGAGCCAATTAATACCTGTATATAATTCTGAACAAACAGAAAAAGAAGCTCCCTGCTTCGTCTCATGACACTAACATTCTGAAATGTATGATGGTAAGATGAAATTAATGCAAATGAATGCTTATTGAGGAGGCCTCAGCAGACACCACATCACACCAGAGCTCCATAATCTATACTGGCTAGCTATTAAATTCCTGGTGGAGTTAAAGGGGTTAATTTTACCCTATAAAACCCTAAGGGGGTTTGGGATTTGTTCAACTGAGAGATCTCATCTTTCCCCATCCATGAGACACTGCTGCCATTCTGAAGGTGCTATAACCTAAAATCCACCAGTTTGAAAAAGAAGAGGGCTGATGGTAGGTTATTTTCCAGGAGGGATTCTCAACTATGGAATTCACTTGTTTAAAAGAAGGCCAAATTTGTCAGTATTCAGCACATTTTTGGTTTTGTAGGTGTCTGAGGGTGGGATTGGCTATTGGATGGTGGATTCAGAGTAGCTAATGTGGGTGTTATTTTGGGCAAGTATTATTATGGCATGCATGTACATTTGGATTTTGTGTGATTTTTATTCGTAATTGTATGTGTAAATGTTGTAAAAATGTCTAGGGCCTGGGACTGTTGCTTCAAATAGAATCTAAATAAATAAAGTTGTCAAAATAAATTGAGTGATCATGTACTAGCATGAAAATATACTGCTGAATTATACTTTTTTATTCATTGTTGCTTAGCTCTCTATATTTTTAGTTTTGGAAACTTACTCCATTTTGTTACAGTTAACTAAATAATATCTGAAAATTATAAAGAGTTACATAAATAACAAAATGGAAAAAAATATACACATCTACACACCACTAAGAATGCATATCTGGAAATGTTATCATAACTGGAAACATTACTTTGGCTCCATAGAAACACAGCAACAAATGCGTTCAACCATTTGTAGCTACTGCTATTCTTTAAAAAAGCAGCTTTCAACTGGCAGACTTGGACAGTCAGCCCTCTAGGAAGAGAAGATCTCACATTTACTTAACCACAAATGATTAACAGGCCTGTTGCTCCTTGTGTTCAAGTTTCATTTAAAATGGCAAATGTTCAGTTTGCAGTGTCCTGACATCTGCCATTTTCTGCTGAGGCATACATGAGTACAGAAGGAACCTATGAAACTAGATTTGTGAAATGTTAATTAGCAATCAAGCAACATTTTTCATGTGCTGATACCATCAAAATCCACATGTGTCTGCACCCATCTCATGTAGGTAGGAATGCTCTCACAAATACTAGCAGCAATCAGTACTTCTAGAGCAGTAATACCAGGCAGTACTCACTTTTGAAGGCTATTCTTTTAAGAATGATGATACCTGTCCTACCTACATTTTTTTTTTCAATTTTCCTCTTAGATACCCATTTTCTCCTTTTATCATCTTTTCAATGTCTCCACACACCTCCTAGTGAGGGGTGCTAGTCTTTCCTGGAGATTAGTATGTTGTTTCTCCTGCCCTCCCAAGCTACCTGGCATTGAGAGCAAGGTATAATGACTCTACCTTTGATCTCCTATAACAGCACAATGGACTGGTACTAAACCAACAGGCTAGCCCACATATCTACCTCTTTTTAATAGTTCTCCTGCTCCTTAACTCTTTACATCCAATTGAGCCACACCCCACAGCAGAACATATTGGACCCACTATTACAACATTATTGCTGTTGTATATGTATGGTAATATGAATTGTTGGGGAGTGATTTTCATTACAATATGGCATACAGGCCCCAAGTCTGTTGATAAAACTATAAAAGTGCATTTGATTGTTAATTGACAAGTTGAAGAAAAAAGGTCATTTAAAAACTATCATTGATATTAATGCTTATGTCAACCAGGCAAGCCAAAAAAGTTGCATGGAAACAGTATTACCTCTACAAGCTTTGAAATATTTAAAATTTTCCTGTAGCTTGGGAGTCTCATGAAAGCTCTAAAAAGTTCTCAGACTTTCAGCACTTGCAAACTAGACTTCCACACTCAAGAAAAACAGCATTTTAATTAACTTAGGGGCCCTGAGCAATTCTTTCATGAACACATCCAGAAATAAACCAGCAGCTCTCTGAATCAGAGCCACTCCTAAATCATATACATACATATTTCACATACACCCCTCATTCTCTAGCATCTAGATACTTAGCAAGTACCTGGATATACTTCAAAGCAGAGACTCGAAAGGGAATTGACTGAAGAAAGATTTAAAGCAATTTGACATCTAAAAATAAGTGTTCTACTGAGCTCTGTCATGAATGAAAGTGCATTTTTGGAAAGAGGACCTAGTATTTTCCTGTAGGTTAGCAGCTAGGCAATCAAAACCCTCCAACTAATTTATCTAGGTTTAAAAGTAAGATCACTAGCAAACTGTCTTACAAAATATTTGGCTATAGAGTTTGCATTTACCCATTTTCAAGACAGACGACCTTAAACTAACATTTTCCATGTTGCCCTCATGAAGGCCAAAACAAAAACCACAAGAAATGGCCTTACTGTGCATCAATACCTGAAGCTCAAATGTCACAATCAATAAATATATGGATATTACTTTCTAGAAACATTAGTGGCTGAAAAAGAAATGCTTCTATTTGTCTGAGAAATAGAGGTGAAACACAAAGCGGAAATTTTTTTAGTTCATTTCCCAGATGGAAAATGAAACAGGAATAAATAATAAATGGTAAGATGCTACATATACTGCAACAAGTTTTTTGCTCTCTGTTTTCTTCCTTATGAAGTATGTTACATTCACAAACAATTTTCAAACATATTTCCCCAAAATCAGAGATATAATAAATAAAATAATAATAATAATAATTAATAATGTGCAACTCACATTGTAAAGCACTGAAATATTCAATGAAAAGTTGCTATACTTACACAGATTGCTGTATGCCTATAAGGAAGGTTTGCGTTCTCAATGCACTGTCCACTAGTGACATTCCAAACACACATCTCCCTGCCAAAGATAACTTCATATTACTCTCTGTCATTTCCACTCAATTGGCTGGAATAATTTTGTGCCACCAAGTTTTTCTTTAGTACTGCACTTTTGTGGCTTTTTGTTACAGATTACTGGGTAAGAAAATGTTGTGGTCATTAGCAAGGGATGACATACAGTATCTGTTTCTTTTTGTTTTGGTAATTACACCCTGCTGCCTTGCAGCAAACCCTACTTTAAGGCCAAGTCTGGCCTACAACAAATTGTAGGTATACTGCCATTATGGCTCATCAATGTGTCACCATAACTATCATTCGCTGAAACTACATCCTCCTGAAAATGATTCATTTCACTGAACTTAAACTGCACATTTTGAAAAGAATAATGCATCTTCTACAGCACCAGACTTTAGTTCTTGAGATAAGCTATCATTTTCTGTTAAGAATAAACAGTGCCACCATGAGGCTGTTTCTGAAGTCTATTTCTTCAATACAATACATCATTTCATATATATACTACCTAATCAGTAATAAAAATCAAAGGTTAATATTTTGAGAACAAGCTTTCAAATATTTTTGTATGTTAGCCAATGTACTTTACTTAAACCATATTCAACATGCTTTGGAATTAATGTCTAGTAGTTGTTCAATCAAGTTTACCTGGCAAGTGAAACCCTTCTGAGGTATGTCAAGTTGTCAGAGCTCGGCAGCTATGGGCCAGTTCCACAAAGGTATTTAGGCTCTTAACTTCCATTGATTTGAATGGAAGTTAGATGCTTCTATATCTTTGTGGATCTGGGCATACATGTTAAGAAAAAAAAAAATCTACAGACTGAGTTAAATAAATGGTAACCATTATTCTTTCAGCAATTTAACCAAACATGTTATGCTATTCAGAAAATAATTGTTTCACAGTGTTGTCTGGAAGAGAATATATTAGGTTTACATTGGAAAAATAAAATCTCTTTATTAATGTATCAGAAAAACAATTTAGAGATTTAAACTTCAACTGATCATTGTTAATTTCATATAATTGGCTAATCCAAAATGATTATTCAGTGTTTATTTACCACTGTGTACACTGTAAATAAAATCTGCATGTGGTATATTCCAGAAAGTTAGCTAAACAGAATGATTTCTAATAATCATTGCCTGGTGGCCAAATTCTTCTCTCATGTACTCTGGTGTAAATGAGGGGTAACTCCACTGACTTCAGCATTGGATATCTACACTGGTGTAACTGAGAGCAGAATTTCACCCACATTTCCATATTTTCTGCATGTTGCTTTGAAACGATAAGAGTTTGTTCTCTTCCTATGAGTAGGTAGAGAATAACACATTATAAATATTGTATCATGATGCCTTTTTTCTCTGACCAATACTGTCCATATCAGTGGATACAGGCAGGTGGAAATACACCTCTACCTCGATATAACGCTGTCCGCGGGGGCCAAAAAATCTTACCGCGTTATAGGTGAAACCGCGTTATATTGAACTTGCTTTGATCCGCCGGAACACACAGCCCCCCCCCCCCAGCCCCGAGCGCTGCTTTACCGCGTTATATCCGAATTCGTGTTATATCGGGTCACATTATATCGAGGCAGCGGTGTATAAATCTTAATGGAATAAATTCAACATTTCCACACAAAAAAGGACACTAAGAATTGCCCATTATGCATTTTTCTGAGGAATATCAGCGACAGAAAAGAGGAAAGGCCCGGACATTTTTAAATGGAATTAGAGGGAAACTTTTTCCATGCAATGTTCTTAACCACAATCCAAGAAGACAGAAACTTGAAAGTAGTAAAAGGACTGATCCACAGCCCAGAGTACACAATCTGACAAAGCTTGCCTCTGCTGAAGACGAGGCATCCTATTTGTAATCATTGCAGCTTCATATTGCAACCTTCCAGAGCTCAATGGTGAATGTCTTGCCATTATATCAGAGTGGTAGCCGTGTTAGTCTGTATCAGCAAAAACAACGAGGAGTCCTTGTGGCACCGTAGAGACTAACAAATTTATTTGGGCATAAGCTTTTGTGGGCTAGAACCCATTTCATCAAATGCATGAAGTGAAAAATACAGGGGCAGGGGTTGCTTTACCAAGTGTGAGGTCAGTCTAACGAGATAAATCAATTGACCTCACACTTGGTAAAGCAACCCCCATCCTTTCATGTATTTATACCTGCTCCTGTATTTTTCACTTCATGCATCTGATGAAGTGGGTTCTAGCCCATGAAAGCTTATGCCCAAATAAATTTGTTAGTCTCTAAGGTACCACAAGGCTTCCTCCTTGTTTTTGCCCTTATATGGTGCACCAAAGAAGTTGCCAGTGGTTCTGTGGAATGAACATTTAAAGGGTTCTGAAGACCATTTGTCCTTATCTATACGTATCCCAGATACACAATACAATCCATCCAGTAGTGAGCTTTCATTGTTTCTCCAAATAACATATACATATGAGAAAGCTTTTAGTCTTTTTCTAAGTCAATTTTTACATGTATATAGTATTTAAGCAACGGAATACTTTTCCCACTTAGCACTGTATAGATTAGGGCCAGAAAAATGGAAGGTCAGAATTAAGATGAAAGTTAACCTCACTTTCAGTACAATGGCCAGGATTAACTTTGGGAGTGTAAGGGGAATAATACAAAGTTAATTTTGTAGGTCTCCAGCCTCTTTCCTTCACCTAGCTACCAAACTTCTCTTTGCCACTGCCTCATTTAACCAAGGCAGCAAGCAGGGAGATGATTTCTTCAGCAGCAGCCCCCTCTAGAACAGGGCTGGGAATCCTGCAAGCATAGAGTGGAGTTACAAGGTGGCAGGCCCCTTTAAGAGGAAATGGGACCTCAGCCCACCTGTGCCCAGATCAGCTTCCCTCCCCAGGTGGGTAATAATGAATGAGGTAATGAAGTCATGGGATTAACTCAGGCTAGACCTTGGTTTGTGAGAGAAGAAGGGATGGACTCCTGGAGTAGCGCTAAGGGAGCTTGAATACAAGCTGGTAACACTCCAGGTAGGAGAATTAGGCAGGACAGAAGCCTGGAAACCTGTAGCTGGTTTGAGGAAGCAGCTGCAGGGAGCAAGACTGACTCCTGCAAGGAGCAAAGGACCTGAAACCAACTTCAGGATGGAGGACTAGGGACTTCTGACTCAACAAGAGAGAAACATTGAACTGGGCTTGGGTCGAGGGTCCTTTATTTAGTGAGGATTTATTAAGTTGTACCTCAGAAGGGGAATATTTTAATTACTGTTGGACTGTGATGGTGAGTTATTGATAAGCCCTATGAGATAAGGGAAATTGAGGCAGTTGTGACATTCTATACCTTGGGGGAGAGTCCTGTAATCCCCATATTCCTCATTATATTTAACTGTGATCTTGCACATAAAGCATTCCATGTGAGGTATCGGGGGAAAGGTTATGAACTGCTGAAACCCACTGTTCTATCTAAATATGCATATCTTTAATACATATAAAGTTATGAGAACTGTGTTGTATGGTTGTCACTAAAACATGCTGTAAGTTGGGAAATCAGCCAGATATTAGCTCCCCGAAGGCAACAGCAAGGAAAGTAACCAACACCCGGGCACAGTGTCAAACAACACATTGTCCAGCAAAGGAGCTACAATTCAATGACTCACCTACATGAGGCCACACCAGGGGAATTGCTCAACCTTGCCTGGAGACTCAGCAATGCCCCCAGACATGCCTGGACTTGTGCTCTCCAAGCACATAGGACTGAGGGTATAAAACAGATACAGTGGCCCCATGCTGGGCCTTTCTCCTTCACCCACCTACACTGCAAGCAACAAGGACACTCTGAAGACTCCAACTAGCAAGGCATTTTGAGAGACAGCCCAGGCTGGAGAGAGTTCAGGGGGGCACAACGGTCCCACAGCGCCAGGCTGCACCCCGGGGAACCCATCACAGCAGGGTGCTGCCGAGCCATGAGAGGATGCTTGAGAGACAGCCAACCCTGTTACAGAGCCTGGGCACATCATCCTCTTTCATAGCTTCATTCCCTTGAGAGTCAGTATTCATGATGCTAAAGAGTTTTCTGGTCCTGCCAATGCCCTCCCACAGCTCTGTGCTCCTGGTTGGCATAGGGCCTTGCTGCCCCCTGACAACGCATTCTCTTGGGAATGGGCTCCTGGCATCACATTGATTCTCTGGACCTGCCAGCCCTCTCTGCATTCCAAGGGATGGGCTTCCCATCTCCATGTTGTGTGTGGGCCAGCTGATAGTTGGGCATGGCAGAAGCAGAGACCCTCTTTGAAGAGGAATCCTATAGAATAACTTTACTATACTAAGTGACCACTGCACCTTCCCATGTCATGGGGGAAATGGATTGAAAGTCTGCTGCCAAATGCACAATTTGTTCTTAAGCCTTGCCACATGGTTTAAGATGCAAAAAGTAATTGAAAACTCATAGTTACCTACCCATTTTCAGTAGCACTAACCACATATGGTTGTTTCTCAAAGTCTCTTGCTTTCGCCAAGCATGTTACTGAAGCAGTATGACCAAAGAGAATTTCTTTAGATGAAATCTAGGAGAGCAATGCAGTTATTTCACTTAACTAAAACAGTACTTTTTTGTATAAATCATCAAGTAATCCAAAATTAAGAAATACCTTCATTATTAATTTTATTACTGACTCGTAGACAGTACACACTGTATTCCTACATAAGGCCAGATTGTGCCCACCAGCTCCAAGGATGCACAAGCAGAGAAGTGTGTAAGCCGCACTTGCCTTTTGCAACACTGCACACAACAAGGCACAGCTGCAGTCCCTGTGATCACTGTGGTATAAAGACTGCCCGTTTTGAGTGGCTTCTGGTGTGCAAGATGCTCCAAAAGAGTCAGAGAACAGGACAGCCCCAGCCCTGCCACCCACTACACACCAGATAGCAGAAGTGGCTGAGCGCACTAGGGATCTGATCCAGCAAAGCACTTAAGCAATAGGCTTCACTAAATCTAAAGGACCTATATTTTGATGGGCAAAAAAAGAGTATATTTTTCAATTAAGTTAGCTTAACTTATTGGAAAGCCCCATTAAGATGCCAGAAAACATGGTTTGAAGCCGTGTTAGCTTAACGTTATTGAAAAGTCCCGTTAAGATGCCAATTAACTCATTTGAGCTAACATGACTTAAAAAAAGGTATGCTTCCTCTGTGGGAGGAAATCTGCCTTAACTCCTATTGGCAAGGTGTAACTTCACAACACTCCCCAACCTATGTCTGTTTGTAAATGGCATGCTTGAGCCCAAATGAAGAAGAAGTAAGAGCATGCCTGAGAACACAGCAGAATCAAAGCCATAAGAATGATGGGTTACAGTAAATAAACATACTTTTGCTACGAAATTACATCACTGATATATTTTACACTTCATCCCACTTGGTCCATCTTTCCTGAAACAGTTCATTTGTTAACTTAAAGAATGTAAGGCTTTCCATTTCTCTTAGTTCTTTCATTCCTATCAACAACATTTCTATAATGGGTACCTTCTCTGGAACTAGAGAACCACACTTTGCCATTGATTTTAAAGAAGAACTCTCCAGAACAGGACCCATCATAATTATACAGATTTACTAACTGCCATCATCTGCTGCACTGGATCTCAAATTGTGGTCCATGGCTCACTAATTGTCCATGGAACACTCAATGAGGCCTGCAAAGAACTGGCTGCTCCCGTGAGATTTACATTTTATTTTCACATTTATTATGTTGGTTAATTCATTTTCTCCAACAAAAAGACCCCCACACATTATCTTTTACACTAATCACAACTGAGTTATATATAGTCTATTAATAATAAAAGGTGAAACTCCAACCAGGTTATTTGACAGACAACACCACAGTGGTCACAAACCTTTAAATCTGATGAGAGAGTCCAAAGACATATTTGCCCCTCTTGACTTCCTGTAACAATAGTCTGCTGGTCATCTGTAATCATTATGACAGTGATGCTGTGAGAGGGTGCTCTTTTCCCCCACAGTGCCACAGCCAGCACTGAGGTCTTCATAGTGTACAAAACCTGAAAATAAAAAGAGGGTAAAATAGTTATAAGTAACACAAAATATGAAAAATATATAATCCCAAACATTTCAAAGGGGTGATCACATGATACTGTTCAAGGAGCCAGGTTTCAGAGTGGTAGCCATGTTAGTTTGTATCAGCAAAAACAACGAGGAATCCTTTTGACACCTCAGAGACTAACAAATTTATTTGGGCATAAGCTTTCGTGGGCTAGAACCCACTTCATCAGATGCATGGAGTGGAAAATACAGGAGCAAGTATACATGATGTATTTATACCTGCTCATATATTTTCCACTCCATGCATCTGATGAAGTGGGGTATAGCCCACGAAAACTTATGCCCAAATAAATTTGTTAGTCTCTAAGGTGCCACAAGGACTCCTCGTTGTTTTTGTTCAAGGAGCATAAATTGAGATTTTGAGAGTCAGGTAACTGAACAATGATTGGTTGCTGTTGCAAATACACTACTAATTTCTCATTATTGCTACCTAGTTATAAAAGATTAAGAATATTTTGGGAACAATATGGGTTTAAGACCACTGCAATAAATACAATTAATTTAATTTAGATTAATATGATGACATTTCCAAAAATGAAAAGAGTACTCAAGCCATGGTTGTCCAAGCAGCTTTCCCCATAACCACTCTCTGGGATTTTCTATATGGGGAGGGTTTGAGTTCCAGAACTGTGCTTTAACTCCCTTTGTTTGGGTTTGGGTTTTTTGCCTTGTGCTGGCTCAACTTGCTGGCCTAATTCTTTTCTTGTGTAGCTTCCATGGGCCAAAAAGCTTGAGGAACAACTGTTATCTCATATTCACGTAATTACTTTTTCACCATACTTTTTGTTGTTCAGGTTACTATGCTCTAAAAAATGTCTAATGCAAGTCTGGAGCGCTCCCATTAATGTCAACTGTAAAACTCCCTTTGTCTTCAAAATAAATAATATAGAGATCTGAATATGGTTTGTTACATTGCCTAACTTGTCTAAAAAACATGGATCTTCAAATATTTCCATTGTTATGATTCTTCTAGGTAGTAAGTCTTCTGCCCTACACATGTCTTCTCCTGGTCATATCATGTGAAACGACTGTTGAAAGGGGGAGCAGAGAAGTGCTTGAGTGCTGGATTTTGCACCTTTAAACGTAAGTTTTTTTGCACAGGAACATATATGTTTTAACATAAAGTTGATTATCTACCCTATCATTATTTGTTTGCTTGTGCCAGACCCTTAAAAGGATACTGTAAACTACAGTTTTAGAATTTGCCTTCTAAAACTTTATTTTTAATTCTCTGTGAACTTATATAAAATATTTTTTCCTATCCATTTTGTCCTTATCCACTTAGCAATCACTGAAGTTTTACTTTTTCTTTCATTTCTGCTACAAAGTAAACATCATATCAGCTTAACTAGGAATATTCTGTTAACAGCAAAGCAAGCAGGAGGAGTTCAGTGTTTCTGTAGGTCCTATAAAAATGGTAGCTACTAATTTAACAATTTTAGAGTAGGTCAAATTTTGGATCTGAGGATTTAAAAGTGTTCCTACTATCTAAATACAGTGGGACTTCTCCTCCCGGACCTTGCACTTTATGTTGTGCTTCCTTTTGATGATGTTTTACGCTAGTCTGCACTCACTTTGCACAGTTATAAATGATTATACTGGCACAAGGAAGCAGAGAATCAGAACCAGTATTTTTACCAGGATATTTGATTTGATACTAAACAAGCCAAGAGTAACAAAAGAGTGTCAAAACCAGCTAAAATTGTAACACAAGTCTCTAGAATAGACTGGTAGAAAACAGATTTACAGTATTTATACATTTTTTCTTGTTGTGGACAGGCTGCTATGGATGAAGAACCATCCACTGTTTATTACCAAACTATTGCAGAAGACAAAATATTACAATTATAAAGGAGAGTAGGTTAAGTCTGAAATTTTATGAAGATATTTTGTATTTGTCTTTTTGTATTGTAGCCTCTCTAAGTATAAAAGATCCATAGAAGGCACAGAATTAATGTAATATTCTTTAGTAGTTATTTTTCCTCTGCTGGTCTAATGTCTCTTTCAGATAGAGTTCATCTGATTCACAAAACACAGAGCTATAGAAGACATTCCATTTTGCGTAACAGGTATCCTGTTAGAATGTGTTGCTTTTGTGAGTTTTTTAGAAATACTGTGTATACATACACACTTTGTCTGACAGCATTTAGCTTTATCAACGTTATTTTGTTATGAGGATGCACCTAGAGCAAAATTTCTTATATTTTATCAACAGATTTTTATCAGAGTATACCTTTTAAAGGTATAATCTGTTTCCACAAAGTCAAATACCGCCAGAGGCATATTTGGGCTACATGTAGCTTATCAGCACGTGTTAAATTCCACCAGCTCTGTCCACTAAAGCATGTCTGATTCTTGGTATTAACCCATAACCCGACTCTCAATTAAGCTTCTTTGCAATGCTAGGAAGTGACTCAGTTTGGATCCATAATAAATACTTTAAACTTTGAACAAAAATGTATAAGGAACCGGGAAGAAACAAAATTTTAGTTGTTTGGGGAAGTGTGAGGTAGGAACTATAATATACACCTTAATATTGCAACAATGTGCTGGCAAAACCCTGAAGTTCAAATATTCAGTAAGAAATTCAAAATATTCATGTACCAACACCATGTTAGCAGATGCAGTTAACAGCAAATTAAAAATATAGAAAATATGATTACAAGATATTAAAAAGCTATCACAAGTTTTCTATCATTCAAGACATTTGGGCCTGATTCTTAGTTATACTAGGGCCCTTTTCTGCCACTCTTGCAGCATGAGAGGACTTACTGGGTATGGGAATGGCCCTCTGAGAATATTGCCTGAACATGGAGCCTCCTCAGCTAGTGCAGAGATAGCAAAGGGGCTATGCACCAATTGTCTTCCAGAACTAAGGCACGTGGCAGGAATAGATGAAGGTGTGTAGGGAAGCAGGCCAGAGCCCACTGCACTTAAGCTATTCAGTTTCTCCTAGGCCTCACTAGGATCAATGAGAAGCAGAGTGTATGTCAGAGTAGCCCTGAGGCCAGCAACTATGTGAAAGAGCCTGGAAATTCTGAAATGAGCCTTATGGAATGGCTGACAAATGCTACCTCCTAGGCCAGGACCAGACTCAGACTTTAAGGTCAGAAGGGACCATCATGATCATCTAGTCTGACCGCCTGCACAGGCTTCCAGATGCAAAGACACCTTTACAATACTTCCCCAAGCACAGGAACAGATTACCTGAGAACTAGAGGCCATTATATAATTCTCAAAGATAAGAATCTTAACCCTCCAAAGCTCTCTTGATGAGAAGTCTATGGGTGTCAAGAAAAAAATTGGCTCCTGTCACTCCCTTAGGAAAACCATTTCCTTCCCCCATCCTGCTCCCTGTCCACAGCCTAATAAACTCCTTCCTTTGTCCTCCCAATGGACCATCATGATTACACTGCCCAGAAGTCTCCTCTCAAATGGCCATCTCGTCATCTTACACCAAGCTACAAGCCAGAGCTTTCCCTCCTCTGGCTTGCCTACCGACCATGTCTTGCCTCCCTTGTCGGTTCCTGGTTCTAGGGAGGCCTTAGCAACAGTGTGTTCTACAGAAATGCAACACAGAACATTATTAGCCTGGAAAAACTGTGTTATGAGTAAAGTACAGATCATATAATTTAGAGGATTTCAGCAATTTTACTTTTGCAATTCTGGATCATTTGTACAGAATCTGAACTGCAAATAAAACCCGAAGGCTCCTCTTATGCAAGCTGAGCAAGACCATTGGAAGCTAGGGTAGGGGCTCTGAGGAACCAGACAGCAGGTAGGCCATGCTGTCCTGGTATGGATTTCAAATAGAAATCAAGTCAGGACTCCTTCTCCTGATTGTTTTCTCTTTATGGATGGGGAATACCAGCACAGGAGAGGTGGGAATGCCCAGGAAGTCTCAACGCTGAGCAAAGAGGAGAAGGCCGAGTCACACCTTGTAGACTAGAGATAGTTCCCACATGGGACTGGAGCTTGCTTTCTCTGTAGAACCCCAGGATCCGTAAAGTAAGCCAACCATAGCCCACCTGTTCCCACACCCCTTCGGTCCCTGCCCTAAGAAAAGCATTTGTCGACAACAGACTTGCTGGGCAAGTCACACATCTCTGTGCTTCAGTTTTCTATTTCTAAAATTAGAATAACAACACTCCCCTGGCTCAAAGGAGAGGTCTGAGGATAAATTTGTTAGGGTCCATGAGATGTTCAGATGCTAAGGAGAAAACCTAAAATCATGCAGTGAGATATGAAATGTAAAAACTAAGCCTACACCCTTTTGAAGTCAATAACAACTGAATGACGAATTCCCCTCTCCAGGAATTGCTTCCTCAACAAGTTGGTGAAATGAAAATTTGATTCTGACAGATGCCTCAATCAGAAGTTACAGGTCATCATATAACATGTGAATAAAAGTTCCTCAAGTAGAAAGTTATATAGTGTAAAAAAACTTCAAAGAGAACTCTGCAGGTAATACAGTCAATCTACCATCTACCAGAAAAAAATCTTTGCGGGTTTACATTTCTAATTATTTTATCTTTGCTAGAACTTCATATTCTTGGATTACACATATACTTTATTTGTTGTTAAAATACCTTAAGAAAGACATTCATATTAATAAATGCCAGAGCTTTTAGAAACTAATTAATTGTAGTCAGCAAATACATTTAATCACCACAGGTGCAAAAACAAATGCATACTACAGACGTGTGATCAACAACAATAAAAGAATTGAGATGTGAAAGACTTATTGCTTTTATTAGGTCAACAATCGAACTATTTGAGGAAAGATGGGCTAAATGGGTTGAACTGATTAAAAACAACAGCATGTGTGCTTCCTCTCAGGCTTGCAAAATTCTACTTACCCAGCGAGACTAATATATTTTTGATAGGTGAGTAAAATATCATTAGTTTTTTTCATGAGCTTCCTCATCATGGTAAAATG